CTCGCTATCTTGATGGGTCGACACTAAGCTCATCGTGATGGACTGACGCTCGCACGCGATAAGGTGGCTTTGGGATGAATTTTACAGACAATGAAGACCTTTTCACTTCTAAAGCCACGTATTTCTGATGGTTGTGGTGTCGTATTTTGTTTTAAACATGGTTATGAAATGGGATGTTCCAAAAGTCTTCTGTAAGGGAACGTAGGTGCACAAAGGAATTCAGCGGACGAAGACGCCGTCGCGCTTGTGTAATAAAATAAGGTAGTTCCCTCAAAACAGAGCCAGCAGTGTGCTCTTGGAGGCGAGGGAGATTAACGTGAGCCAATGACCACGCTGGGTGAGCTCAGGAGAAGAGTTCGGAAGGCTAAAGAACAAACGATGAGTGCAATTGACATCTCTCATAACTGCTTCTTCCATCACGTAGCGAGCGGCGACTGACCGAGAGTGTCCGATGGCGTGTTCACATGAACCCCGCCCTCTCTTGACGTCCGTCCCATCTACAGCAGAAGACTTTTTCCTCTGTTGACGATACCCACAAGGATTAAATGTATATAAAGAGTGTAAGAGTGCGTACACTCTTTCCTCTGAGGGAGAAAATAACCCCCGCAATTGTCGCCGGGCGGCCCATCGCCTTCGGCTCAGCCGGATACATCCGCGCTTCCCCATTGATTCTGACATGCTGTACTCCTTTATGTTCGGTCTGGCTTTGTGTTTGGCGCCGGTATTTACAGAGGCAGCGTAAAGGATATCAACAACCTAGAGAGTATTTCTAGGATTGATAGAAACTGACTCGGAAAAATGAACGACAAGAAGGCCTTGTGGGGGGTTGGGGACGGTGTAATAGCAGGGCATTACGTAGTAATTGTATATGGGGCCAAATCACTTATTTAAAAAAGCAATTCGTGTGATATATCTATTAAAGCTTGATTCGTATTGCTGAAATTACATCTCTGCACGGCGAAGGTACCCAAGCATGAGTCAGCTAGCTCTGCGTCTGCAAGCCACCACAACACAGTACTTTTCTGGTGTTCCAGGTCACGTTTGTCAGATCTCACATCTGTGGTGGTGAAGAAATGATACTTGTGCGGACGTAAATGTCAGGAAAACCCTCTTCTTTAGGAAGAGGTTGGGATCTCAACAAATCCTAAGAAAAAAAAGCTTTACCAGAATTCTAGCTTCCAATTCACTATTGTTAAAAAAAATCGACACTTTCAGTAGAAGAAAATTCTGCAAATAATGAAGTAAGCCCTGTTGCTCTGCTTGCGCAATATATTGGGGCTGAGGAAATTCAATGCAAATTTGAAGTCGCTGGAAAGCTGAGGAGTGTGGCCGTCTTGAAACTCGCATTGAGGGAGCACCGTTTGCAGCAGCATTGGAATACATAGCTCTCTAATTTAATCGTGCCAATATTATTGAAGAGAGGTTTATATTGCGATGTCGATGATTGACACTTCTTTGCGCCCCAAATGCCTCGGCCTGGTTGGCGTACGTAAGTTTGAATTTTCGAAAATTTGAATTTGAGCCAAGGCGTGCGTCCAGGGACTTCTGCGGACGTTTACCTCCTCGTGCGTCCACATTAGAGTCGAGAAGCTCAGCCGCTGCGAACACTTCTCGAATTCCTATGCCCACGCATATTGTCAACAATGGATCGATGACTTAATCTTATAAATGGGTTGCGCGGCCTAGCAAATGCAAATGCGTCCGTCAGGGTTTGGCCTTGATTTTACGCAAAACCAGGAGGAAAAGCTCATAGGGCTATTCCCTCGGTTTATTCACCGAAGTGCGCTCTCTTTCTCACACTTAAAACAGTAATACTACCTCAGCAAGGCAAAATGCTCCGAATGGGGAGTTTTAGCGGTGGTCGGCGGAGCAGTCGGCGCAAATCAGCGTCTTCGCGTCCGACATCCGTAGATTGGTGCGCCCCTTTGGCCAGCCTTGAAGCTTGTCTGACCGAGAAAACTGATTTAATCGATGAGATGAAAAAAGTACTGCCCATTACTGTCCAAGCTCCTGGCATTGTGGCAATTGGAATGCGCGGCTCTGGCAAATCGACCATACTTGAAGCATTGAGCGGCGTTCCCTTATCCCACGCGAGCGGTCTGCAGCGTCCAGTGAGAGTGAAAATTGTGTCTGACCCTACCTGCACAAAGGAGTACGTCCTAGTCAGCGGGACGGACCCTCTTTTCAAGCAGAACACCAGGCGGCTGGAGCATGCCCGAGACCTGCCGGCGTGCCTAGCTGCACTCGACAAAGACGTGCGCACTGATGAAGTAGGGAGAACGCAGGGTATGAAAGCGGAGACGAGCCCTGTCGAAGATGCGGGAACCCCCACCTCCATTGCTCAAGAGGAAGAAGAAGCGGAAAACATAAGGGAGGAGCTGTCCGAGCAGTCGAGCTATTTTACAGGCCTCGGCGGTGTTAGTAGCTCAGGTCCTGCTGAAGACCTGAGGTTGATATATGTGCGCGTTGTCCGTCCCTCTGGCCCCACATATACCATCATGGACTTTCCTGCTTTTTCCTCTCCACCCCGTGCCGAGGAAGAAGCCTACCTGAACCGCATCTTGGCAAAGGAGAGAGATCCAGCCAGTCTCGTCCTCGCCGTCATGCCTGTTAAGGACGTATTCGACCGAGCCGAGGTCCTTCAGATTGCGAAACGCCTTGATCCAGGCTCCAAGCAAACAATTGGAGTCGTGACCAAGATGCATTTGGTGACTAAAGGCATGGGGATCGTGGAAAAGCTCCAGATGAATGGAAGCAAGGCCGTGGCGCTGCCGCTTGGGTACGTAGCTGTGTGTGCGGCCGATCCAGGAAACCCAGCAGGGACTTATCAAGACGTTCTCGATTATGAGGCCAAATTCTTTACAACCAACCCTCTGCTTAAGGGGTTGAAGCCGGAGCGATGGGGCCTGACCTCCCTCAAGTCGCTTATCATCCATTGCCAGACCAACAGCATTACGCAACGTATACCCGGACTCAGCCAAGCCATTCGCTCGGAAATCGAGGATTTGAGCCGAACCTGTGTCTTAAACGACGAAAGGATAGAGCAGAAGGCGACCACGCCCCGGAAAAAGAAGTCTTTAGGGGTGTTTGAGAATACCAAGGACGTGTTCAGCAAGCTATGCTCTGAGATGACACTGGTCATGTTCGACATTAACGACTTAGCTAACGGAAGCAGCACTCGCCAAGATCGGAAACTCAATCTAGGCCCACGTTTCCTGATCGCAGTCGAAACGCGGGAAGCGGAGGCAAGGAGCGCCTTGCCCGTGTGCAACTCCTCCGAGGTCGCCGATTGGCTGTGGGGAGAGCTGCAGGAATTTGGGGGCGTCACTAGCAGCTCGGACTCCATAATGCATCCTATCTTCCGCAAGGCCGTACGCGAATTGTTCTTCCCTGTTTTGCGTGGGTATGCCAAAAGCATCATCGATGACCTGGACGAGATGCTTAAGTACACGGCGGAAAAAATGCTAGAAGAGCGGTTCGGAGCCTATAGTCGTCTCGTAGAGTCTCTTACTCGAGATGTCACACAGGTTCAAGAGACAAAGAAAAGGGAGGCAGACGCTCTGATTGCTCGACTCCTGGAGGCCGAATTAAATTGGGTGCTCGTGGATGCGGTAGATATGGCGCACATTGAAAAAGAGACTGCCAAGGACATGGAAAAAAGCAAGACAGGGGACCGTGGAGAAAGGAGGAGCGATATGTGGGGCATGGAGGGCGTCGATGAGGAGGAGAGGGAAAGTAAGTTGAACAAGAGCAAGAGTGGCAAGGTGTTTATGCAATCGGATCACCGAGGGGAGCTCCAGGCAATGCAGAGTTGCCTTCATCAGTATGTGCATCTATTGCTTAGGCGCATGTTCTACGCTGTTCCTATGAACACCAGAAATGTGATGATTAATGAATTCCGTGACGATGTGCTCTCTGTGGTCACGGGGAAATACAATGAAGAAACGAAACTTCGGGCTCTGATGTCTGAGGAGCTGTGGGCGGGTCACAGTCGACAGCAGCAGGCTGTTCGCAGATCCGCTTTGGAAGAGGTCATGAATAAATTGGATTTACTGTCCTAGGTTTTCGAAAGAATTTCGTGACGGAGCTATACTGACGGATATTAAGGAAAGACTAGGAAACCGAAAACGAGAAATGCACTTCATCGGGAGATATGCATAGAGCCTGTCTATTGCAATTCATCACCACACCTTGTCCTATAGGAAAATGAAGAATGAGACAGCAAGTGTACTGTAAGATTGTATCATTAATACCAACAAAACTTGAGGGTTGCCAAAGTGCCATGAGGTCGACAGGAGATTATCATGTCGGCATAAAAAGGTCCAAAAAATGACGCACAAAACAGTCCACTTGTTTTCTCCTGTCTTCGTATGACATGTATGTGCAGATTGACTTTACCACTCTCCGAGTGCTCTGCTCTCGAAATTGGAAGATGATTGGACGTATGCACAATACAGCCCACTTTTTTCCTCTTGTTTTCGTATGACAGATATTTACATGTCGACTTTGTCGCTCTCCGAGTGCTGTTGTCACTTTTGACGTCAAGCTATTGCCGAAAAAGAAGTTGCGAACCCGAGGCAAGTTCAAATGCCTCCCCCGGGGTCCTCGGGTTTATCCTTTTGAGTGCGTGAACCGGGTTTATCATGAATTTCCCGATTTAACGGCCACCCAAATTCCGCCGTCCCTCCAGACACTTTTTCTTTATCTATGATTGGATGTGCCATGGTCACCTTTTCGACTTAGAAGAATGCGAATAGAGCCCAAACGCATTTTGTGGCATTCAAGAACATAGTATGCATCAGAGAAAGCTTGTACAGTTTTCTAAGTGTTGGGTGGACAAATCTACTCGCGGACCCTTTCCGAGCGCCGTCGGGTCGGGTCCCTCCGTGCTTCCTTCCCTTTCCTGTGCTTTCGTTGACGAAACGAGATTATGTAGCGTCTTTTATTGTATAAAAAAGTCTACAAACTATTTTAAGTTTGTACGTACCTATTGACCGCCCCAACAGGACGCTTTGCACAGGCAGGATAACAAACGGGACAATGTCAGCGGCCACAGGTGCAGGAGAAAGCAAAACAGCTAAGCTGGTTCGCAGACTTTCGTGGAGTAGCATTAAAGATGGTGCAAAGCTTAAAAAATCAGTCGAGTCTCTGGTAGACTGGGAACTAGACGTTCTCGAGGCACCCCTGAAAGTTAAAACTGATTTGATCGATGATCTGTCCATCCTTTGGCCCCTGAACCAGCAAATCAAGGCTCCCGGAATAGTCGTGATTGGAGCTCAAGGAGCTGGTAAATCTTCTGTTCTACAGCTCCTGACGGGTATGCCTTTTATCTATTGCACGGGCTCAGATAGCACAAAAAGGCCTATTAAGATGAACATTACTACCGACCCAACGACCGATGAGACATACACCCTGGTCAGTACTGTGGATCCAGAATGTTCCCCCGAAGATGGCAACACCAAGCATGTCAAAAAACTTGAAGAGCTGTCCCGGCTCTTGGCGCACCTGAACGAAAACCCAGAGCACAGCGAGGTGGAAGCTCGTAAGCAGCCTATCTACGTCAAGGTTGTGCGACCCTCGGGTGCGGCGTATTCGGTCATGGACTTACCGGGCATCAATGAAGAGGACCCTGAGTCCGTGCGCTTCACCGAGGACATCCTTCACCAGGACCCTTCGTGCGTGATTCTCGTGGTCTTGCCCTTGACCGACATATTTGACCGGGCCTTTCCCGTGGCGTTGGCCAAGCGTGTGGACCCGGAGGGGCGAAGGACCATCGGCGTGGTCACCAAGACAGATCTTGTTCAGAAGGACATGGACGCCGTTGAAAAGGTTCAAATGACGAGCCAGCCGGGGGTCAATCTTCCCCTCGGATACATCGCCGTGCGCTCCGCTGCAGAGAAAGAAAAAAATGAGTCGCGGCGACAAATCCTGCAGAGGGAGCAAGCGTTTTTTACGAGCAACCCCTTGCTTGCCGGTCTGAGACCCGAGCGATGGGGCTCGACGACCCTTAAACGCTTGGTAGTGGACTGTCAAAGCAATGCCATCGGTCAATCGATCCCGAAGGTGACGCGGCTCTTGCACAAGGAGCTCCAGGAGCTGGACAAGGAAGAGGAGAAGGCGGCAGAGGCCCTGGGGTGGAAAGACAGGGGGCAGTCCCAGGGGAGGGCGAAGCCCCTGTCCGACCACCAAGACTTCTTCACCAAGCTCTGCCTGGATGCGAACACCTTGGGCTTCGAGATCGGCGAGCTGGCTTTGTCCAGCAGCACGCGTCAGGAACGGCACCTGAACCTGGGCGCTCGCCTGGCCGCTGCCATCACCTTCCACGAGAATGAAGCACGTCGGGCCCTGCCGGCGAGTGTGGCCGAGAAAGTGGGCTCTTGGCTTGAAGTGGAGGACTTCGCGAGCTCGGAGCCTCGCACTTACGTGAGCCGGGAGACCATGTCGCACGACGTGTTCCGCAAGTCGATCCGGGAGGTGTGCGGGCCCGTGCTAATGCACTATGCCACGGCCCTGTTGACGGAGACAGGCCAGCAGCTGGAGGAGGTGACGCACGTGCTGGTGCAGGAGAAATTCACGGGCTTCCCCTGGCTGGTCCAGTCCCTCAAGCACGAGGTCAATTTGTTGCTGGGCAAGAAGAAGGTCGACACGGAGAAGGTCCTGCAGCGAATTGTGACCTCCGAAATGAATTGGTGCTTTTTGAGCGAGGCGGATTTGAATGCCGTGGAGCGAGAAGTGGCCCTAAACATGGCCGGGAAGTCCAGCGGCGGGCTGGGCATGGGGAAAGTGGCGCCTGCTGAGGAGGCCAAAGGTAGCGGACTGCATTGGTCGGCGGAGATGTCGGACGTCTTGAGCCCGAGCACGCGTGCGGAGGAGGGAGGGAAGCTCAGTCGCTTCGACCCCACGCGGGAGGCGCGCATGCGGGAGCTGACCCTGGACGCTTACGTCCGCTTGATGTTGCGGCGTGTTTTTTACGCCGTGCCCATGAACATTCGCAACGTGATGCTGAATGAATTCCGGCATGAGCTGGTGTCCATGGTGGCAGAGAAGTACAACGACGAGGCGAAGCTCAGAACTGTCATGTCTGAGGAACTTTGGCGAGTGCAACAACGCCAGCAGCGGACTGAGCGTAAGGAATCCTTGACGGATTTGCTGCACAAATTGGATTTATTATCCTAAAGAATCTTGACGTCTGAGAGAGAAAATTACTGCAAGACATGCGTGTGGAAGGTACCCGGATATTGTCAATGAATGCATAGGGAGAAAGAAGGAAAAGAGAGAATACAATATCGCGCCACAATATCGCGCGAAATCGGCAGGCCAGCGGTATTTCCTTCAGGTACGAGATGCTGGGGCCTCAAACAAGACTTTGAGACGCTGACGCCAATGATAATTAGTACAGGGCAGTAAAATCCTGGAAAGCGTATTTTTTGTTGATATAACTGGCAGACACTTTGCAAGCACGTTTCTCCTGTTGCCAAACATTATCACATCGTGGACTTGTTGGAGCCTGTCTCACTATTGCTTGGAAATGAGATTTTTTTTCCTTTTCTCGACCTGGAAATTAAAAGTTACCTTATGCGTCCTCCTCTTCGATTAAGAAGGCAAAAAAATGATGCGGGAGGAATAAATATGCTTTCGATGTGCAAAAGCCCATAAGGATGACAAAATGGGTAGTAATATTACACAACTTTAAGATGCTTCTAAGCAGTCGAAATAGGTACGCTCGAAACCATTTTGGAAATGTTTGTGCTGATCATATTGCGAACAGGTGCAGCTCACAGATGGTATCCTTAAGGGGTACTTCGTTAATTCCTTATCTTCTACCGAAATCTTGTCGTGATGAGGCGCCAAAATTATCCCAAGGTGATCAGGCAACTAGATTTTCTCTACATTAATATTGCGTTGGTCCTGCTATTTTCTGTCAAATATGAAGTCATGGCTCCTCGGCCCATAGGACAGGAGGGTAAGATTTCGATACCTTTCAGTGGAATGTGCAAGCCTCGCGACGTGGTCATACCTGGCGCAGCTTATGGGGAAAATATTTTAATAACTTGCATTCTGGAAAAAAAAAGGAAATCCGAATTAAAGACAAGCTCACGGGTTCACAAAGATTTCACCATCCACCAGCCATTGCACGGGCGAAAGAGCTTCAACAGCGAGTTTTGCGACGATATATGCAGACGAAAAGTTTCTATCCCTGGGTGAGTTTTGTGTTCCAGGACGTCATGGAAAGTCGTTATGATACGCGCATTTGTGACGAAATCAACAGTCATGTTTTTCTCTTCACGCGGAGTGAGTATAGGCTGTCCTGGGGTAAAGCAGAGGATTTTATGGCTGACTGGATTGCGTGGCTTCAGCCCTTTGTTTTCACTCATCGGCACCCCCCCATAAATTTTCTTCCAGAATCATGGACCAAGATGGACAAAATAGTACGCAAGAAACAGTATTGGAGGGTGAGGATGGCCCTTTGATGATCTCGGCGGAAGACGTGTTGGAAGAGTTTGAAGTGGACGACGAGGCCCCTCCCCTTGAAAGTGAAGATGAAAGTGAAGACGAAAGCGAGGGGATAGAAGAACATGAAGGTAATATCAAGCTTCCTTCAGGCATGCGGCTGGTAGCAGAATATGCCAACGGGGACATGGAGGTGCTGGGAGAGGAGGGGGAGGCGGGACTGCCGACGTCGGTGGCGGACATGGCCGTTCTCAGCTTTCGCGGGCATAAGGGTCCGATATACGCCGTGGCTATCAACCCACGGGAATCTCGGAGCATGCTGACAGGGGGGGGAGACGACCGTGCTTTTTTTTGGGAGACTACGGCCGCGGCACCCTCTGTCAATACTTCCACGTCCATGCCTGGCTTGGGTGCGGTGAAGGAGTCAGAGGACCACGGAGACAGCGTCAATGCGGTAGGTTACAGCCACGACGGCAGCTTGGCTGCCACGGGCGCGTACAGTGGGAAGGTGCTGGTGTGGGACGCGAAGACGCGGGGACTGCTACAGACTCTCGAAGGCCCAGAGGACGTGGAGTGGCTCCAGTGGCACCCTAAGGGGAACCTCCTGTTGGCAGGAAGCAAGGACGGGACGGTCTGGATGTGGCTGGCCGTGACAGGAGAGTGCATGCGGGTCTTCAGCGGGCACGAGGACGCGGTGACCGTGGGCATGTTCACCTCAGACGGGAAGCTCGTCGTCTCCGGCTCCATGGACGGGTCGGTGCGAGTCTGGGGCCCCAAGGCGGGCGTGTGCCGGCACGTCTTCTCCGGGTATGCTTTCCACGAGGGGCCTGTCACGGCCCTGGCCTCGCATCCCAGCGACGGGGCGCTGCTTCTGTCGGGCGGGATGGACGGGACGGCCCGCTTGCTGCATGCGGCGGGCAAGCGGGTACTGGCCTCTATGGTGCACAGCGAGCCGACGGCAGTAGGGAACGGGGGAGGGGGAGCAAGTGTGAACGGACGAGGCAAGGAAGGCGGCAAGAGCGAGGGAGGCGTCGCCCCCATGGAAGAAGACGGGACGGGCCCGGGGACAGAGGAGGAGGTGGCGGGGGAGGAGGTGCACGAAGGGAATTATTCCGTGGAGACGGTTGGCTTTTCCAGCGTGTTGACTTGGTGCGCGACGGGTGGCATGGACGGGACAATGAAGATCTGGGACCTGGGTAACTTCAGCTGCCGGCATGTGTGCGTGCACCCGGGCCTGCCCGGCGTGACGAAGTTGCAGTGGCATGCCTCCTTGCCCCTGATTTACACAGCAGCGACAGACGGAGTTCTCAGGCTGTGGGATGCGCGGAGCGGTGCATTACTGCAGGCCATGACCGGGCACGAGGACATGATATTGGACTTCGCCGTGCACTCTGCTGATGGACACATGGATGTCGTCCTGACGGGGTCCGACGATGGAACCGCCAAGGTATTCTGGGTGGACGTGCAAAGATACCTGCAGCAGTCTTGTTCCTAATCATTTTTATTCCAGGCTTGATGTATCGCAATGTGTAGAAATATATGTCGCTTGCGTCGCAGGGGACTTTCTTTGCGTTATCATCTTACTTGTTTTTTCAGGCCCGACCTGTGCAGCTTTCCGTGTCATCTTAAAAAACAATGTATCCAACGTAATTTTAGCACTGCAATACCTGGTATATCAGTCATCTGGGAAGAAGACAGGACTTCCAATTTCTGTTTCTTTTAAATGGAATGACCCGGCTATACATCAACGGAAACGCACAGCGGTAGCATGCATGGCTGAAGCGGTAAAATGCAATCATCGCTTATGCTGCCTTCTACAATCTCATTTTCGGGGGTAGGCTATCGAGAAAGTACTCTGAAGACTCTCATGGAAGTCTAAACAAGCAAGTCCAAAGGAAGTCACCTTGCTGTGCGTGGTCGATTGCGCATCTACGAACGCGCCGTGCGTGGGTTGTGCATTTAATTTCATCGTTTTGGTCATGTAGTGTCTGTCTGTGCCTGATGGTGGAGTTTGATGACTTTCCTCACGTCAATCTGTACCACATTCTAGGTAATGGAACGTACTTGTGTTCGATGGAAAGCTCGGATCGGGTGAAGGCCTTTCGTCAGTGGAGGGGATATCAACAGGACATCGCATATCATGGGACTCGTGTGGCAAAATTATGACCGGACAAAACCTTATCTACCGTACCTTTACATTTATAATCTTGCAGAAAGTTAATGCTGACGAAGTGATCAATACTGGTGGTCCTTAATCTCGCCCGCCCCCGCTTCTAGCCTCCCCACCCCCTGATTTTTAATCCTAAGCAAATGGCGGCCACACGCATCGAAGCTTACAGAGTGGAGGCGGATCAACTCTATGAATCGTACCGATCACTGACCCTGGCTGAGGTTAAGACCGTGGTGGAACATTTGAGAGAAAAAATGCGCATACATATTGTCAAGATGGACGTGGAGGAAATGGTGTTTGACTTGATAGGGGCAGATGCTTCATTTGCAAATGCCTTGCGACGGATACTTCTTGCGGAAGTGCCTTCCATGGCCATCGAGATAGTACATGTGTTCGCTAACTCCTCCATCCTCCATGACGAAGTCCTCGCGCACCGACTGGGTTTAATCCCTATTTTGGCTGATCCCGCCCACTTCGAGGATATGCTCCCAGGTCCAGCTACTGAGGCGAATGAGCACAACACTTTGGTTTTCGAGCTCGACGCGGCCTTTGTATTGCCAAAGGGTGAGACAGGCCGGCAAAAGGACAGCAGCAACGGTATCAATACCGGTGACGCGTCGACATTGAAGGCACCGACTCGGAATGTCTACGCAAAGGACCTGGTCTGGCGGCCCATGGGGGAACAAGAGACGAGGCTGGCCGAAAGAGTCCCCCAAGTGGCGCACCCCGACATCTTAATTGCAAAGTTGAAGCCTGGACAACGCATCAAAGTGGAGGGCTGGTGTCGGAAAGGGGTTGGGAAGGACCACGCGAAGTACTCGCCAGTTGGGACCGCGAGCTACCGCCTCTTGCCCTCCATCGACTTCGTGGAGCCCGTCCTGGGAGAGGAGGCGGACAGGCTGGTGGAGCTATGTCCTATGGGCGTCTTTGACATCGAGGATTTGGGCAAAGGAGGGGCAAGGGGGGCAGGGAGGAAGGCCGTCGTGGCTCGACCGCGGGATTGCTCTATGTGTCGGGAGTGTGTCCGAGAGGGGCCGGGTGTGGGGCGCGTCCGGTTGAAGCGCGTGGCCGATCATTTCATCTTC